GCTCTGGATGGTCTTGACTCTCCTGGTAGTCTCCTCATTAGTTCCTGGGACAGTCGGCGGAATGGAAGAGTGGGGTGCTAGCAGATTCGGGGCGCAGGGAGCTCCTCCCTGCCTGGGCTTGTCTACCCCAAGCCCACAGGCGCAGGCAGGGGTGGGGGGAGGTGGGGGTGGTCGGGGTGAATGATGTTTTGGGTGCGAGTCGGGAAAGGGCAGAGACTCACTCACCTAGTTCCTGGGTCGGTCGGCGGAATGGAGTGGCTATCTGAACTTTTTCGGCCATTGATATTTGTTTCATGAAAGTGGAAGTCATAATTAATATTTAAAATTTTACTATGTGTATTTTAACCAAATATTTTTTGAGTTTTTATAAGTGCTATTAATTGAAATAAAGCACCAAAAATGCCCTGATATATTCAAAGGTAAACCTTCCTTAAGTATAACAGGACTTCTCCCTTCTGTGACCTGGCTGAGGTCAACATATTGATTGGGTTTTATTGTTTGTTTGTTTTTTTCTTTTCTATTTTTTACTTAATTTTTTTTCATTTTACATACCAATTCCAGTTCCCCCTTCCTCCCCTTCTCCCATTCCTCCCACCTAACACCTCCTCCCCATCCCATGCCCTATCTATTCCTCAGAGTTGGTAAGGCCTCCCTTGGGGAATCAACTAAGTCTGTCATACCAAGTTGAGTCAGAACCAAGCCCCTGCACCCCTGTATCATGGCTTTGCAAGTATCCCACCATAGGCATTAAATTAGTTATTTATAAGCTGAAGAGAGGGAGGAGGGATCATATGAACAAGTGAGGTCAGGATCATGATGGGAAAACCCACAGAAACCGCTGACCTTAGCGAGAAGGAGCTCATGGACTCTGGACTGATAGTTGGGGAACCTCCAAAAACCCAGTGTCTGTACTTGGGATAGGTCCTGGTGCTACTGCCAGCCATCCCCTCCTCTCCAAAAAGATCCAGCCACAGTTAGAGGGCCTAGTTCAGTTTCATGCAGGTTCCCCAGCTATCAGTCCAGAGTCCATGAGCTCCTTCTCGCTGGGGTCAGCGGTTTCTGTGGGTTTTCCCGTCATGATCCTGACCTCACTTGTTCATATGATCCCTCCTCCCTCTTTTCAGCTTACAAATAACTAATTTAATGCAGAGCCATTTATACAAATTATGACAGTTCACTAAAATGATTCATGGAGTTCCAGAAAAAAATTTGTGTTCCATGCTCTACTGAATTTATAGAATTTATGTATTTATAGACTTTATAGAATTACTGTGCATTTTGGGTTCCATGATTTTTTTTTACCAACTTTTGATATATGGAAAGTGTGGATACTGAAGATTTAACCTCTCATTTCAAGGTTATTTACCCAGTCAGTATCTTTTCAAAAAATTTTGCAACGGGTTTTTCTATTTTTTAAAATTGAGATCTTAAGAAATTCATTGAATGCAGATTGTTTTGGGTATTATCTTAAAATTACTGTTTTGCAATTCTTATATATTAGACAACTGACTATTTGTTATCTTGTATTTCTTTTAGTAAAGGCTGGATAGTTTCAATAGTCTAGTCTCATAGTCTTTATTAACTTTAATGCTAGGATTTTTATTGTTATTGATGCAGTGTTGATGCAGTTTCCTTGTTAATGTTCAGAAATTCACCTGGTGTTTATATGGTTTTGATTTTGTAGATTACACCATTGTAAAATGTCATCATTATTTGTTAGCATTTTTGGCACTGAAAACTACACAATCTGCTTAGTATGCTTCTACTTTACAATCCTCTTTTCCTTTAATTGACCAACTGTTCCATTCTTTGTTTATTTCCAGGGTTGGTGTAAAGAGATGTAGGAAAGTTTGAGTGATTCCCAACAGTACCTAAAAATCTTTATATGTTTTTCTATTAAGTAAGATTTTATGTATAGGTGGTTACATGTAGCCTTTTGTATTTGAAGTACGTTCTATTGCTGTGTGCTGTTTTACTGAAAGATTTTTTTCTGTATCAATTGAAATAATCATACTAATTTATTTTTCCTTTTGCTTTCGTTGAGCCATCTTTGCATGCCAAGAAGGAATCCTACGTGTTCATGCCACATGGTTGGCTGTAACTTACACCTCCATCATTAAAATCAATAATTTCTCAACCCATGACTTTTTCAGGACCTTAGAAGCTCAGTGCTTAAAATCTGCAGTTTCATGGAGAAAGAACTGAGTGAAAATGATGTGGATACTGTCGTGAGACAAGCTACATTTCAGAACATGAAATCTGACCCACGAGCCAATTACAATAATGTTATAAAAAATGAAATTGGGACAAGACACAGTGGCTCTTTCCTGCGCAAAGGTGGGAGTCACTGGTTTGTAGTAATGAAAGTACTGAGACTTCCCCAAATCTCTTCCTTTGGAGCACTTTCAGAATATTATATATATAAAAAACATATTGTATATTTGAAGTGCTGGAGGTTTAATTGCTCATTCCTCATGCACCACTTTCCTCATTTACAATAATTACAGTTGTGTCTTATTTACCCTATCTTCTGTGATTAACTTATGTATCAACCATTGAGATTTTATTTTCATTTTTGAGACATGGTCTCATTTGTGGGACTCAGGCAGTTTTGAACTTGCTATGTGTAACTGAGGATTACCTCCAAACCCTAGTGCTGCCTCTGCCTCTGGCTCTCTGGTGGTGGTAATGCAGGCATGAACAACCATATGTTGGTATTCTGACCTAACTGTGTGTCAGCAGTTCTTAAGAAGAATGACCTTCCCTAAATTGATACACTTGAAGCTCACAAGACAAAAATTTAATTTACTAAATCATTTAGTGTAACATTCTAAAACATAATTTAACATATATTTTGATTACTTTTAGTAATTCATCACTTCCCATTATATAATGATGGCCATGGACTATACACAATTTTTAAACGTGTTTTTCAAATTGATGTAAATTTTGATAATTAAAAAAATGTTCCTTTTATCTCTCACTACCATTTAACATCCCTTTTCTTCTTATTCTCCAGCCAGACTAATGCTCACTCTATCTCATACAAATATTAGTTTGCTGTCCTTCCAAATGCAAGGAGTACAGTTTGTATAATCACATGCTCTAGCACGGAACACAGTCTCTCATTGTTTCCATTGGAAAAGGCTATAGCGGTGATTGCAGATGTGTGTCCTGCAGAATTGCAGTAGTGGCAGCTCTGCTGCCCTCTGTGACCTTGACATTATTAATTAAAAGTCTCTGGGTTTAATTTTTCAGAGATTTGGAGAAATTCACAGGTTTGAATTATGTGTGACACACACGAAAACTACATTAGGAGTAAATAACAAAATACTTTTTAAAGTCCTTCAATTATGACACTATGTAATTACATATTTTTCTGGCCTTTACAGATTCTAGTTTTTTTATTAGCAATTTCAATTAAAATAGTGTATCACTTGCCCTGTCCTTCTAGCCCTCGGCATGCCTTCTCCCTTCAGCATCTCCCATGTGCTCCCCTCACTCCTTCTTAAACTGATGGGCTTATTTGATTCTTATCATTATATATGTCAATGTATAAATATATAAACATAACCTTTTGATTCCTTTTGGTATGAGTTGTGTGGTGTATGGTTTCAGGGATAACCTCTTTGTATTAGTCAGCCAGTTAGTGGCTCATCCCTTGGAGTGGTAAATGCTCCTCTCAGCAGTCACTATTTGCCTCTTCTTTGTCTAAGGGTGGGCTTGAAATTTCTTGCTACCTTGTTATCATGCTTATTGATGTCATTGTTCAGGTCTTGCTTAGCCAGCAAAGTTATTGCTGATATCATGAGTGTAGCTTCTCAGTCATTTCTTTTAAATGTCTTTTTAAAATGTCTGCCCCTCGTACACAATGCCCTCTGAGTATTAAGTACAGGACTCCTGTCATAGGAGTGTTCATTGGTGCTGAACTCCACAGGAGCCATTGATATCTGCATTATGGACAGTTATGGTTTTCTGTAATAGTTTCTGTTTGTTATGAAGATAACAACCAAAATCCCCACAACATACTTTCCAGAAATATAACAAAGGACATCCTAAAATTCATTTGTAACCAGTAAATACCATAGATAGCTGAAGCAGTCTTGGCCTGAAAGAATAAAATTGTAGGAATTTCCATTTCAGATTTAACAATACATTATAGAGTGATAATAATAAAAACAGTATAGTACTGACATAAAACAGACACACAGGCCAACTGGATAAAATAGAAGACTGAAACATGAGCATTGAAACTACAACCTTGGGATATATGTTATATATTATCAATTGATATTCTTGGTATATACTTTGCTTGAAAAATGTAAATTACACTTCAAAAATTCTCATGTATTTATATTTGTTAAGGTTTTTGTTTCTTCCTAAAGATTGGTTATGGTTGGTCAGTTAACACATGAGATAGTGAACTTGTGTTTATTGTGTTATTGTACAGGTTTCCTTCACTGCTCATTCTTCTATAAGGAAAGGTGAGGTAACAAACTCCACATAGCACTCACACTTAGTTCCAATGGGTTGGAGAAGATACAGAAGTTGCTTAGAGGGACCCTGCTTTGACATCTTCATTCACTTACCTAAGCGCTGTCCCTGTGCCTCTCTCATTAGGTACCATTGGAGACTGGAAACATCATTTGACTGTGGAACAGAATGAAAGATTTGACAAGATATTCAAGAGGAACATGGACAAAATTCCCTTGAAGTTTGTCTGGGATATAAATGAAGAATAGAATTCTAATGTTTGTATCAAATACACAAAAGTCCATTAAACAGAATGCATACTTTTATATCAATAGTGACATGTTTCTGTACGTTAATCATTGAATGGCAACAATTATTAAGAAGCAAAACGAATAAACTATGCCTGTGTAAATTGCAATGAGATTAATGAATGACTTCAAATTTCAAAATTAAATTAGTTTGGGTCCGTGTTATCATTGGTACTATGCACTAAAAGCATATGAAGGGTGCTTTGTGATGTAGTAAAATCTCTGCAAAGAGTTCTCTGTAGTGTACTTTTTCATTCATCTTCTTTAATTAAAATCTGGATCAAGAACCCTGGAGAAATGGCTCAGTGGTTAAGAGCACAGGCTGCTCTTCCAGAGGACTCAGGTTCAATTCCAAGCACCCATATGGGAGCTCACAACTGCCTATAACTCCAGTCCATGGGATCCAATACTCTTATACAGATATGAATGCAGGCAAACACCAATGGATATAAAAATTTAAAAATTGTCTTTTGGAATCAAGAAATATCTTCCTGTTCACACAATAAATCTTGAACCTCTGCTGATTCAATTAGGTGGGGAAGAAATATTAGAATTTGGAAAATTGTAACCAGGCATTGACAAGAACCAGAAAAGAGGGAAGAAGATTACTTCCCTATTAACAAGTTCTAAACTTTTTGTTGTTTATTTTTTGTTTGACCATTTTGTACTTATATACAATGGATTGTTATTACTATTTTTACCAAAATTTGTGGATAATGAACTTACGATTTTCTTTTGCTCTTACATATAATGTTACTTACCACACCCACTCCAGTGGAGTCTGGGTGACATGAGGCAAGTATTGCTAAAAACATGTCAGACCTGAGGCATGCGCTTTCGTAGCTAGTGTCTCCTGGAGGTCCCTGGCAGGATCCCAAAAGGACAAGATGGTCTCTTGTGTCTCGAAGTGTGTGGTGGCTTGTTTCTGCTTGTGTCTTTTATCTTATGACTGGTCTGGCTTTGTCAGCATCAGAAGATGACCAGGTGTTGGTTGAAGAAAGATTGAGTACCTCTAGATATTTTGGTTCCAGGAACCAAAAGCACCTCACCAGCAATTTTTGGATAAAACGCTATCATTGAAGTTTTGTTTGTGCCCATGGTCTGAATGGAGCACTTTCTTGCTAAGATGGCTCAGGATATGAGTATTTCTACTAGAAGCCCCCGTTAGTTAGAACTCTGTTAGAGATGTTTTAGATAGAAAATAACAGCTTCAGATCAATTATGAATCCATTCCAGCAAGCAGAATTGTCTTACCAGATATCTAGGAAGAGTAGAAGAGTAGCTCAAGAAGGAGATGATTCAGAAAGCTTAGGGGAGCTTAGAATTCCTACAAAGGTTGAATTAGGCAGAACTTATGGGAAATCATGGCAGCCCCTAAGGAACAAAGGTCCATATTTTTATAAGACAATAGCTGCCCCTTTGCAATACACAAGAGCTTATGATAAAGATTTTAATCACTGAGTTGTAATTGGGGGTAAAAAGAGATTGTATATATCATTGAACTGGTGGGAGAGACTAAATAGAGCAAGACCACCTTGATGTGTCGTGTCTGTAGCTGACATAAGAGAGATTTTATGGCAAATGTATAGATATTTACATTATCAATCAGAAGACCTTGTATGAAGACATACAGGGGATAAAAAGGATTTTATTGTTTTATGAAATTTATAGATTGGCCTAAAGAATCTTAAAGTTCAGCAAGATCATATTTTCAGAGTCACAGCCAGCTCAGCAACTTAACCACTGTCTGGGACCGAGATAATTCTGACTAAAACTGCTTCCTGTTTTGTACTTTCAGTTTAACACTTACTTAGAGCTAATAATATTTATGATACATATTTTTTGTAATCAAGCCAAAGCTGAAGTTCCTGTATTGTTTGTATGAGTTACGGTGATGAAGTAAAGATTTTTGCAGCAGCATCAAACCTCTCTTGTGTTTGTGTCTGTCTGTCATGCCGAATCCATCCCAACCTGAGTACCAAGACCCTGATTCTCCTGCAGTGTGGTTCTCTCCCTGAGTGATCTGCAGCAGTTACTGATACTGAGAACTAAATCCAGAATATATTTAAATGTCTCCAAAGTCCTTCCTAGTGAATTAAATGTATGTGAATTCATTAACTCAGTTTTAAAATGGTAACAACAGAATCACACCTAAGAGCTGAGAACATAGTAGTTACTACATCCATGAAGATGAGTACCTGAGCAGCCAGTGGAGTTCCACAATGGCTGTCTCACCAGGCATAGGATGTGGGGTGACAACCATTAGTTCAGCCATAAGGCTGGGTGCCTCACCAGACACAATCTGGCAGTAGAAGCCTGGAAGTTCCCTGGAAAGCTGCTGTTCCCTAGTCTACAATAAAAGCTTGGAAACACTGTTTCTGATATCAGGGAAGGGAACAACAGAAACAGCAACAGGACAAGGAGAGAGGAAGGACAAGTGAACAAATGGAGGAATGATCTTCTTTCTGCTACCCTTTTATCTGCACTACTCCCAGGAGGTGCACAATTGGGGAGGGTCTCCAAGGCGGGACACTTACTCAGGGGAGGTTCTCTACTCAGATGTTCTGATGTGTGACAAGTTGACATTAAAACCAACCATAATAATTTCTATTCTTAATTACAGGTAGTGGTTTCTTTAGCTTCAGTTTGTTAACTATAGAGATAGTTGTGTTCAACTCACAGCTGTGATGAAAGACAGGGGCTGAAATTCAGGCGACGGAAGTCTGGGAAATAGATACAAATATGGTAGAGGTTTGAAGGGGGGACTTACACAGGCATTAATGACTGTCTTGGAATGTCCCCGATGAAGGAGTTCTTTAGCTCAATACTGAAAGAAAGAGAGAGAGAGGGAGTGAAAGAAAGAAAGAGAAAAAAAGAAAAGAAGGAGGCAGGGAGGAAGAGAGGAAGGAAGGGTGAGTATGTAAAGAAAAGGAGCCTAAGAAGCTGAAGAGAACCCCAGGAATGAGAGGCAGAGATAGTAGGAGTGAGACTGCTGAGTGAGATTATAGGCTTCTCAAGGTCTTTGTAATTCCTCAGTAGAACCTTGCTAACAAGAAAGAGAATTGGTGACAATGTGATAAATGGGGATTGAGCAATGGGTTCCAGATGCAATGAAGTTCCCATGGAAAAATGAGGATCCAATAGAGAGATGTCAATGGAAGACAGGAAGAAGTATTCCCCTCCACACAGTGGGGGAATTATCATCCAGGAAAGAACAGAGAAAGCACACCCAGAGCCATGAGAACAGGAATACACCCCCCTCTCACACACACACACACTGTGAACAAAGAGCAAGCAGTTCCTGGACAGGAGCTACCCTTCAGATGGGTGTAGGACGTTTGTCCAGCTTCAGGGAGTACACCCTTGGATCCCAACCATCCAAACATGTACTTCCCAGCTTCAATGAGCAGTTGCTGCGGTGCTGGACTGTGAGTTCTCCTTACCAATTGCTCCCTTCAATCAGAAGAGACGTCAAAGGCTCTGAAAAAAATATGTGTATTGTTCTCAGTAATGGATAATAAAAATGTGGTACATTCGCGCAATGAAATACTGTTCAGTGAATCCAAAAACCAAAATGGTAAAATTCCCATGTAAATGGATAGAGCTTGAAAAGTTATTTGTTTGTTTGTTTGTTTGTTTGTTTGTTTTTCGAGACAGGGTTTCTCTGTGTGGCTTTGGAGCCTATCCTGGCACTCGCTCTGGAGACGAGGCTGGCCTCGAACTCACAGAGATCCACCTGCCTCTGCCTCCCGAGTGCTGGGATTAAAGGCGCGTGCCACCAACGCCTGGCTTAAAAGTAATTATTTTGAGTTAAACCAGACACAGAAAGTCTGATTCTGAATGTTTTCTCTTACATGTGGATGTTATCTTGTAAACCTGTGATAAGTGTGCTATATATAAAATCTATATATCCACAGAGATATTTTGGAAGAGAATTCTAAATTGTGTTATTTTATTTTATTTAGAAAGAAAGCCATGCTACTTGGATCAGGCTGGCATTCCAGACACTATGTAGCTCAGGATGTGCTAGAACTTAATTTCTTCTGCCTCTTGCTGGTAATTGCTGGGGATAGACTTGAGGCAACTCTCTTGGTTCAATCCAGAAGAATTTTAATTTTACTTCTGCTTATTTCTTTTAGGATATTATAAGAAAGTAGCATACTTTATAGTTAAAGTGAAGGAGGTTTATTGTTGTTTCTTCATGTGTCATTTTCCTTCATCACAATAATTACATTTGTCTCTTACCCTATATTCTTTAATTGAGTTATGTATCAATAATTAAGATTTTATTTTCATTTTTGAAACATGATCTCATTTGTATGACTCAGGCTGGTTTTGAACTGGCTATGGGTAACCGAGGATTACCTCAAACGCCTAGGCCCACCTCTGCCTCCCTGGTGGTAGGAACACAGACATGAACAAATGTATGCTGGCATTTTGGCCTAACTGTGGTAGCCGTTCTTAAGAAAGAATGACTTCTTCTAAGTGATACTCTTGAAGCTCAAAACTCAAAATATTTACTTAGTATATCATTTAAAGTAACATTCTAAAGCAAAACTTATCATGTATTTTGATTACTCTAAGTTATTCATTCCTTACTATTATGATGATGGATATTGTGTTACTGTACTTTAAAAATGATTTATTAAAAATGCTGTTGATTTTGATAATTTACAAAAATGTTCCTTTATTCTCTTCTCTCATTTAACATGCCTTTATTTCTATTCTCCAACTAGAAAAATGCTCATCAAGTCTTATACCAATATTAGTTTCCTGTCGATTCCAAATGCAAGGAACACTGTACAATTACAGGTGATAAGAAAAAAATGTCGTGTTATTGTTTCCATTGTAAAAGAATGCAACAGGGGTTCAAAACTTTTATCCTGTAGAATCACAATGGTGGCAACTCTGGTGCCCTCTGAGACATTGACATCATTAATTGAAAATCTATGGGTGTCATTTTTTCACTGACAATGGAGTAATTCACAATGTTGAATTGAATGTTATATATAGTCATACATTTATATGTGAGTAAATAACAGTTTAATTTTAAAAGTCTCCCAATTAGGGCACTATGAAATTATAATTTTTTCTGAACCTTTTATAACTC